TCGATGAAAATCCCTCCACGAAACGACGGTAGTAGCCGCCAAACCAAGAAAACTGCGAATATCTGTAGCTAAGGACGTCCTGGGCCAACTTTGCTCGGCCTCTATCTTCCTCGGATCCACCCGAATGCCCTCACTCGAAATCACGTGGTCTAAGAATGCCACCGAACTCAACCAAAACTCACATTTTGAGAACTTTGCATATAGCTTCTTCTCTCTCAGGGTCTGAAGCACGGTCCTCAGGTGCTGCTCATGATCTTCCCGACTCCGGGAATACACCAGAATATCATCAATAAAATCAATAACAAACGAGTCGAGATATGGCTTGAACACACTGTGCATCAAATGCATGAAAGCTGCTGGGGCATTGGTCAATCCAAAGGACATAACAAGGAACTCGTAATGACCATACCGAGTCCTGAAGGCAGTCTTCGGGATATCTGGCTCCCGAATCTTCAACTGATGGTAACTTGGGCGCAAGTCAATCTTAGAAAACACCTGTGCGCCCTGAAGCTGGTCAAACAGATCATCAATGCGAGGCAAAAGATAACGGTTCTTCACTGTAACCTTGTTCAACTGGCGATAATCAATACACATACGCATGGAACCATCCTTTTTCTTCACAAATAAGATAGGAGCACCCTACGGTGAAACACTGGGGCGAATGAAACCCTTATCAAGCAATTCCTACAACTGATCCTTCAACTCCTTCAACTCAAGAGGAGCCATACGATACGGAAGAATGGAAATGGGCTGAGTGCCCAGCAACAGATCAATGCCAAAATCAATGTCTCTATCGGGCGGCATGCCCGAAAAATCAATTGGAAACACATCGGGATAATCCCGTACCACTGGAACTGAATCAACAGAAGGAGTATCAGCACTGACATCTCTCACATAAGCTAAATATGCGGCACACCCCTTCTCAACCATACGTTGAGCTTTAAGAAAAGAGATAACTCTATTGGGAGTGTGATCTAAAGTACCACTCCACTCAATATGCGGAATACCTGGCATAGCCAGTGTCACGGTCTTGGCGTGACAATCAAGAATCGCAAAATGGGGCGACAACCAGTCCATGCCCAAGATAATATCAAAATCCATCATACCGAGTAATAATAAATCCGCTCTGGTCTCAAAACCACGAATAGTAACCAAACATGACCGATAAACGCGGTCCACAACAAGAGAATCCCCCACAGGAGTCGAAACATAAACGGGGGCACTCAAAGAATCCCGAGGCACACCCAAATGCGAAGCAAAGTAAGAAGACACATAAGAAAAAGTAGAGCCCGGATCGAATAGAACCGATGCCTCTCTGTGACAAACCAGTATAATACCTGTAATGACGGAGTCGGAGGCAACAACCTCAGTACGAGCAGGAATAACAAAATATCTGGCCGGCCCCTCTCTCGAGGGCGACCTCTATCTCCCTGGCCTCCGCCCCTAGCCGGCTGGGAAGATGGGGTAGCAGCTGGAGCTGTGACCATGGCCTGAGAACTCTAAGGAGCACGCTGTGGCTGAGCAGTCTGTGAAGATGCACCCCTACCAAGTATGGGGCAGTCACTAACCATGTGGCGTGTATCACCACACTCGAAACAAGCTCTGGGAGGACGCGATGGCTGTGACTGGCTAGGGCCAGATCTGCCGGACTAACCTTTGGAAGCACCCCGCGCAGGAGGCGCGCTAGAAACTGGAGGTGCATAGTAAGGCTCCTGAGGTGTAGGTGGAGCTGGAGTACTGCTGGCTGCTGGAAGAGCTGAATGAACGGGGCGACCCGCATAACCTCTGCCATAACGACCTGCTGCTGGGGTACGGGCACCAGAGTAGTGACCTGACTCTCGAGACCTCTTGGCCTCCCTCTCCCCTCGCTCCCTGGAGAGCATACCCTCAATCCTCCTAGCAATTCTCACTACCTGCTGATAAGGAATGTCCATCTCCAACTCTCGAGCCATGCTAGATCTGATGGGTGGGATATGACCCTCAATGAACCTGCGAACTCTCTCACGAACTGTAGCAACCAAGGCTGGTGCATGTCTGGCCAACCTGGTATAGCGGATAGCATACTTCGAAACGGTCAGAGCACCCTGGCGCAAATGCTCAAACTCTGCGCGCCATGCATCCCTGAGACTCTGGGGAACAAACTCTCTCAAGAACATATCTAAGAACTGGGTCCAAGTCAATGAGGCAGCCTCGGCTGGACTGTTTATCTCATAAGTGTGCCACCAATCATAGGCGGTTCCCCGAAGCTGGAAGGCAGTGAAGGAAACCCCGCTGGACCCTACTATGCCCATAGTGCAAAGAATACGGTGGCACTCCTCTAGAAATCCCAAGGCGTCGTCTGATGCTACTCCACTGACTACTGGGGGATTATACTTCTTGAACCTCTCAAGTCTCCGCTGCTCGTCCTCTGAAGCGGCTGACCCGTCCTCGGGCTGAACTGGCGCTGCAGGCGGTGCGGGAATAATCTCGGGAGCCTGCTCAGCATGCACTCGCTGCTCTGGAGTGCGGACGGCGGGAGTCTATGCTCCTCCCCCGGCCTGGGATGTGGCTGCAGCAAGGGGAAGCAACCTTGCCTGAGCCAAGGTGGTGTACATACTCATGAACTGAGCCAAAGTCTCCTGAAGAGCTGGAGTAGTAGTGGCAGTAGTAGGTGTGCCAGGTGCTTGGGCTACGGCTGGATCTGCTGGTGGTGCCTCGGCGGTAGCTCGCGCAGGAGCTCTGGCTGCACCACGTGCGCATCCTCGACCTCTACCCCGGCCCCGGCCTCTGACGGCTGCAATTGGGGGGCGGGTGCCTGATCATCCCGACTAGCGCGTGTCCTCACCATCTGTGAGAGAATAGAAGACAGAAGTTTAGAATTGTGATGTCAAAATATCGCACGACGAGGAAATCAAATGAAGTGAAAATTTTCCTAACAGTTACATAGCCTCTCGTAGATAAGTACAAACGTCTCCGTACGGATCAGCGAGACTCTAATAAACCGGCCTGTGTTCCGTGACTCCTATGAACCTAGAGCTCTGATACCAACTTGTAACGACCCCAGTTCGCCCTACGTGAACATGTCGTGATGGCACCTAGTCCCTATGACTAGGTAAGCCTAACAATGCGGAAATAGCATAACTTACGGAAATAAATAATTAAACCAAATAAACTAGAAGGGTAACTGTATATAAATGCCGCCCGGCATATACAACCCAATAATGCTGAAGTCTACAATATCATCCCAAAACCCGAAAACTCACGGGAACACAAGCTAGAAGTACTGTAAATGCTCTAATCTCCAGAATGTCTAAAGCAAAAGTACGAATGGAAAAGCTAATTGCTAAGCTAGAATAAGATAGAGACTCCTGGTCTGCGGACGCGGTAGATGTACCTCGAAGTCTCTGCTAGATCTCTCCGCCTCGAGAGTGATACGCCTGGGATGAAGTACCTAGATCTGCACATGAAAAACATGCGCAGAAGGGGCATGAGTATACCACAACGGTACTCAGTAAGTGCCAAGCCTAACCTCGGTCTGGTAGTGACGAGGAAGGTCTGGGACCTACTGAGATAAAATATAATAATAAATCTTGCAACAGCATGAAATAAACGGAAATAATGAGTACAACTATGAAGTAAGACAGGTTATGCATGGCAACAATTAACACCCAGAGAATAAGATAATACAGAGTAAAAACAGCTCAATATCAATACTAACAACGAGGATCTCCTAGGATACCGTCTTGTAGTCCCTTTCATCCACTGTCCAAGGAGCTTCCGGGATACCGTCCCGTAGTCCACCATATGAGTATATCCGAAGGATCTCCTAGGATACCGTCCCGTAGTCCAACTATCAATGTGCAGGGGGATCTATCGAGAATTGAACCCGCAGTCCCAAAGTAAATATGTAGGGGGATCTATCGGGAATCGAACCCGCATTCCCAAAGTAAACAAACAGGGGGGGAAGCTACCGGAATCCCACATCCGTAGTCCCAATGTAAATACGCAGTCACAACACAAAGAATATTCAAAAATGAAGCTCACAAATACAAGGCAACATGTAGTTCTAGCCTAACATGCTTCACGTAGTGCAAACAAGGCAACTTGAGCAAATAGACAATTTAGAACAACTAAGCATGCTTTTCTAGCTAACATAGTCTATAATTGCAAATAAAATAAGGCAGATAAGAAAGAAACTCAGTCTAAACATTTAAAGTAAAACCGGATTTTTCAACATTTAGCTCAAGTACGCGCTCGTCACCTCACGTACAAGGCATTCAATTACCAAATATCATATCCTAAGGGGAAAGGTCCCCCACACAAGGTTAGACAAGCCACTTACCTCAAACCGGCTCCAAAATCAACTCGAAACCACACTTTTGCCACGAGTATCCAACACCAAATGGCCCAAATCTATTCAGTTCAATTACATATCGTAAATAACATCTCAAGCAACTGATTCTACTATTTAATTTAAAGCTAAGACGCGAATTTAGGTAAAATGACCAAAACGCCCCTCAGGACATCTCGGAATAGGATAAATTTTACATTTTCAGAACCCTCGTACTCTCACGAGTCTAACCATATAAAAATCTCCCAAATCGGAGGTCAAACACCCACTCAAAACTCAATAGTTTGGTCTATGAAGTTTTCCCCATTTTTCAATCAAAAATTCGAAATTAAAGATGAATTCGTGATTAGATTAGTGGGTTTTAAGCATAAGAGAGTAGAGAATCGTTACCCAGTAGTTGCCCTCGAAAAACCTTCAAAATTTCCCCCCAAATCCGAGCTCCCAAGCTTGTATTTTGACAAAAATGGCTAACCCTCGGTTTTAAAATATTTATAATTGCCCAGGTGTTTAATGAATCGCGATCGCGAAAGTGGGGTCGCGATCGCGATCGCGTAGAGTAAAATAAAGGCTCCAAGAAAAAGGCCTATGCGAACGCGTGAAAGGGCTTGCGATCGCGGAAGAGGAGGAGCTGGACTTACGCGATCGCGTCTGAGGACACGCGAACGCGAAGAAGGAATGGGCCTCTGGGCCACCGACTCAGTCTACACTACGCGAATGCGAGGGAGAAGCTGCGAACGCGAAAGAGGAAAGGGCAGAGCTACGCGATCATGAGTCAATCCATGCGATCGCGTTTAAGGAATTGGGCCCTCCTCCAGATTGCTCTATGCGATCGCGTGAGCGGGGACACGATCGCAAAGAAGAAAATGGTCTGCAACAGTTGAAGAGAATTTCTGCAATTTCTCATAACTCCAAAATGCTCCGTTGAGCATCCGAAAAACACCCGAGGCCCCCGGGACCTCAACCAAACCTACGGACATATCCCATAACATCATTCAAACTTGTACCAATGCCTAATCCACCTAAAACAACGTCGGAAACTCGAATTAATCAATGATTTAAGCCTAAGAACTCCAACTTTCCTCAAAATACGCTTTCGATCAAAAACCTAACCAAACCACGTCCGAATGACCTGAAATTTTACACACACATCCCAAATGACATGACGGAGCTACTGCAACTTCCGAAATTCTATTCCGACCCTTGGATCAAAATCTCACTATCGGACCGGAAACTTCAAAAATTCAAACTTCGGCATTTCAAGCCTAAATTAGCTACGGACCTCCAAAACACATTCCGAACACGCTTCTAACCCCGAAATCACCTAACGGAGCTAACGGAACCATCGGATTTCCATTCCGAGGCTGTCTTCATACTGTTCGGACTACGGGCAACTTTCCAGCACTTAAGCTCTCATTCAGGGACTAAGTGTCCCAAAACTCTCCGAAACTCAAAACCGAACATCCCGGCAAATCAAATTTGCAGAAATAGACTTAGGGGAAGCAGTTAATAGGGGATCGGGTCATTAATTCTTAAGATGACCGGCCGAGTCGTCACAGCATCGCACCATTTTAAGGTATGAATTCTATCTATGACCACATATGCTAGAATTTCCATCAACATGGATCAAACATGTGTGCTAAGCATTTTATCTTTCTAATCAAGGTGAATAGATTCACATCTCTTAGAAAGAAATAATCCTCCAAGTGATATTATAACCATATCACCTCAGGAGCCTCCAAGTGACACAATCATATCACCTCAGGAGGATTCCCTTGTGCCTTACCCGGGATAATCAAGGCAACAAGACGCAAGACTCAAAGATATCATGAGTTTATGAAATGTCCAATTGAAAATAAAAAATAAATAAATTATCATGTTAGTCATAAACATAACAGGTATCAAATAACACAAGCTTGCATAAAAATAGAATTTATCAAAAGCAATATCTCAGTCAGCAATTACAAAGTAACTCCCACTAACTAAAGCACATCAAAAGACTCTAAAATACCCATATTTTTAGCATGTTCATTAAACACTACAGGCCTAAGACCTTTAGTCAAAGGATCAGCCAACATAGAATTGGTGCTAATATGCTCAATACATATATCACCTTCTTTTACCACGTCTCTAACCTTAAGAAACTTGAGGCTAACATGCTTAGAGCCTCTTGTTCTCTTGTTATTCTTGGAGAAGAACACAGCTGCACTATTGTCACAGATAATAGTCACCGGCTTAGATATGAAATCCACAATTTGCAATTTAGTAAGAAAATTCTTCATCCAGACAGCATGTGAAGCAGTCTCAAAACAAGCAATAAACTCAGCTTCCATTGTAGATGTAGCAGTGATACTTTGTTTCTCACTTTTCCAAGAAATAGCACCTCCACCCAATATAAAAATATACCCAGAAGTTGATTTCATAGTATCTTGACAACCTGCAAAATCAGAATCTGAATATACTAGAAGATCCGGATCATCAACCTTTTTGTATACAAGCATGAAGTCTTTGGTGCGTTGTAGATATCTCATCAATTTCTTTGCAGCCACCCAATGTGCCCACCCAGGATTAGAAGAAAATCTTCCCAACATGTTAACAACAAATGCAATATCAGGCCTTGTACAAACCTGTATGTACATCAAACAACCAACAACACTTGCATATGGCACATCGTTCATAGTTCTCATTTCAACTTAATTTTTCGGACATTGATCCTTTCTAAGTTTGTCTCCTTTTACAACAGGTGCAACTCCAGGTCTACGGTCTTGCATATTGAAAGTTTTAAAAACACTCTCAATGTAGGAATGCTGTGATAAACCCAATAAACCACGTGACCTATCTCTTTTAATTTCTGTCCCAAGAACAAAAGAGGCTTTACCAAGATCTTTCATATCAAAAGACCTAGAGAAAAATTGTTTGGTCTCGTTCATCAAGCCCAAATCATTTGTGGCAAGCAAAATGTCATCAACATAGAGAACCATAATATAAAATTGCCATTAGCTATTTTGAGATAAACACATTCATCAAGCTTATTTTCCACAAATCCAAATATTGTAATAATTTCATCAAATTTCATGTACCACTACCTGGAGGCTTGTTTAAGCCCATATATGGATTTGTTAAGCTTGCACACTAGATGTTCTTTACCAGCTTCTTTAAATCCTTCAGGTTGAACCATGTAAACTTCTTCAAGTAGACTCCCATTCAGGAAAGCAGTTTTAACATCCATCTGGTGCAATTCTAAATCAAAATGAGCCACAAGAGCCATCACAATTCTAAATGCATCTTTGGATGAAACGGGAGAAAATGTTTCTTTATAATCAATACCTTCTTTTTGAGTGTAACCCTTAGCAACCAACCTTGCTTTATAACGGTCTATGTTTCCCTTAGAGTCTCTTTTAGTTTTAAACACCCATTTGCAACCAATAGGTCTAAAACCTTCAGGCAATTCAACTAACTCCCACACTCCATTGTGTTCCATGGAGCGCATTTCATCTTTCATTGCCTCACGCCATTTATCAACAAATGGAGAGGAAATAGCTTGAGCATATGATAAAGGATCAGTAAGCTCTCCAGTATCACTAAGATTTTCAGTCACATACACGATAAAATCATCATAAATGGCAGACCTTCTTTCTCTTTGTGACCTGCGGAGTGGATCATTGTGTAGATTTTGTTCAGGAACTATGGGATCTACGTCGTTGTTCCCTTGATTCTCCCCCTCATGAATAGGTTGGTTTACCACCTTTTCATGTATAACAGGTACAGGGACAATGACTTCCTTCTCTTTCAATACAATTTCTTTACCACATGAACAATCACAATCACAAACATCATGCTCAAGAAATTTTGCATTAATAGACTCAACGATTCTAGTGCCCCGCCAGGACAGAAAAACCTAAAACCATTAGAGTGATCAGGATAGCCTACAAAGAAACAACTGGTAGTTTTAGGATCAGTTTTCTTTTCTGTGGGGTGAATAAATACGAACTTCAGCTGGACATCCCCAAATGTGAAAATGATTCAAGCTAGGTTTTCTGGTTGCCCATAGTTCAAAAGGAGTTTCCAAGACAGATTTTGTAGGAACTCTATTCAGGATATAGCTAGTTGTTTTAAGGCTTCACCCCAAAGATACTCAGGTAGTCTAGTCCTTAACATCATACTTCTCACCATTTTCATTAGAGTACGATTTCGTCTTTCAGCCACACCATTCTGCTCAGGAGTACCTGGTATGGTATATTGTGCTACTATCCCACATTCTTGCAAAAATAAAGCAAAAGGCCCCATACATTGACCAGACTCATCATATTTTCCATAGTACTCACCACCACGGTCAGACCTCACTATCTTAATGGACTTCCCAAGCTGTTTTTCAACTTCAGTCTTGTAAATTTTAAACTTATCAAGTGCTTCAGATTTTTCTTTTAAAAGATATATATAACAGTATCTTGAAAAGTCATCAATAAAAGTAATAAAATACCTATGATTGGTGAAAGTAGGTACATAAGGTCCACTAATATCAGTATGAATTATTTCTAAGAGTTCGGAGCTCCTAGTGGAACCCTTTCTCTTAACCTTGGTCATTTTACCCTTAACACAATCCACACAAGTTTCAAAATCTTTTGGATCAAGAACAAGTAAAATATTTTCCTTTACTAATCGTTCAATTCTTTCTTTAGAAATATGACCAAGACGACTATGCCTAATAGGTAAGACGTTTTACTCATAACAGACCTTTTGTGGGCAATATTTTCTACATGCATTGCAGAAAAAGTTTCATTCAATACATTCAAGCGATATAGACCATCACTTAAAAAAGCATCAGCAACAACATGTGAATCATAGGAAATTTTAATAATACCATTATTTTGTTGAAATGAATAACCAGCTTTGTCCAAAAGGGAAACCGAAACTAATTTCCGTCTCATAGACGGTACGAAAATAGTATTTTCTAGACGAATACTAGAGTTATTCTTAAAAGGTAAAATAGATATCCCTATAAACTCTACTTTTGCTTTGAGTCCATTGCCCACAACAACACTGGCTTCATCCTCTTTTGGCTTCCGTCTGCTTATAGGTCCTGCAAGTCATTGGTTACATGAACAGTTGCACCACTATCCAACCACCAGGAATTTAAAGGAACATGAACAAGACTAGTTTCAAAGCAGACAAAAGCCAAAAGATTACCTGATTTCTTTTTCAGAGGACAACCAGCTTTCTTATGACCTACTTGTTTGCAATCCCAGCACTTGATTTCTTTCTTAATTACAGCTTGAGGACCAAGAGAATTATGAGACTGACCTTGGTTAACACCAGGCTTATTAGTATGACCACTATTACCACCTGGATGATGAGAATGACCATGTTTCTTTTTGTGAAATTTAGGTCCACAATTTCTTTTATAAGAGGGATAGTCAGTTGATCTAGACGAACTAACAAAGTTTACTACACCCTCAACTTTCTCCTTTTGGATCCTCCCTTCCTCTACTATACAAACAGTAATAAGCTCATCAACACTCCACTTATCCTTTTGTGCATTATAGGTTATCTTAAGTTGGTTAAACTGCTCAGGAAGGGACCTTAGAAATTGGTGAACAAGAAAATCATCGGTAATGGTTACACCTAAATTGTTCAGTTTGGTAGCAATGTTAACCAATTTCATAATGTGATCACGGACACTACCTACAAGGTCATACTTTATGGTGGACAAGGAATCAATTAGGCTACCTATCTCAGCTTTATCAGATTCTAGGAATTTATGTCCAATGGTACTCAAGAAATCTTTTGCATTTCCATTATCCTTTATTGCACCTTTTATGTGATCAGAAATGGATCTCTTCATGATCATAAGACTCAATTTGTTAGTTCATCCATTTTTCATACTTAGCCTTTTCATCAGCAGTGCTAGTAGTTGTAGGTTCAGCAGGT